GGGGGGGGGGGGAGAAAGAGGTTGTTTATGGCAAAAGCTGCTTAGAAAATGCTGTGATGAGGCACTTTGGTGCTATTTTCTCTCTGACAGGACAATGCCATTCTGGTAAAACAGTAACAGGTAAATAAATAGAGAGCAATTCAAGCTTTTGTAAATCTTGTCATCCCTTCTTTTTAAGGGGGGTGAAAAACCTTTAAAAGACAATAGGGTCAGGGATCAAGCATCCCCCCATCTATCCCCTCCTTCTATCTGAAGCCTTCTTTTTCTTCTAGTTTGGTTTAGTCCTGGATGTGTTCTGAAAGAATCCGCACCCAACACTGCTAACACTGAAATTACCATATATTATGACAACTGAAGGTGTTTTTCTTCAAAGCGTCTACATGGGATCCTTTGGACTTCAAGAGCACATCATTTCAGATGGACTGAAGCTACGTCCATCATGGACAGGGAGAAATTTCTGTTCAATAAATTGTTGTTTGTTGTTAATGTGACTTCAAGTCATTTCCAAGTCATGGTGACTTTAAAGGCATGGTATAGTGCTTTGAGCACTGGACTACAACTCTGGAGACCAGGGTTCGAATCTCAGCTCGGCCATGTAAACCCAATGGTTGATGCTGGATAAGTCACACTCTCTTGGCCTCAGAGCATAGCAATGGAAAAAATCCTCTGAAGAAACTTGCCAAGAAAAACCCATGATAGATTTGCCTTAGGGTTGGCATGAGTTGGAAATGACTCAAAAACACACAACGACAACAACAACAAAGGCAAACTTATCACAGAATTTTCTTCAAAAGATTTGTTCAGAGGTGGCCTTGCCTTTTCCTTCCTCTGACGTGGTGAAAGTGTGACTTGCCCAAAGTTACCTAGTGGGTTTCCTTGGCTAAACCGGGATTTGAACCCTGATCTCTAGAGTCATAGTCCAACATTCAAACCACTACGCCACATTGGCTCTCCAAAGAAATATGTTTAATCATTTTTTTAACTTTTCTTTTCTTTCTGGGAAGATGATAAGTAACTTTGAATATAGGGCCCTCTGATCTATTTTGAAATTACAGCACGGGGGAAAAATATTCAAAAATACAATTTGCTTAAAATTACAGCCCATGATATCTGTTAAATCTAGTACCAAAAAAAGAGAGAGGGAGAGGGGGAAGGAGAGAGAAGTGAGGAGGGACTAATAAGGCTGATTACATTAATCAAAGTAATGATAATATTCGCAATTCTACAACATGATTTAGAAATCTATTATACTAGTATATTAAAAAAGGTTCTTAGCTGTCATAAAAAAGTCATTAGTATAAACCCTTAATGTAGACAATTAAAATACTTCAATTTGTTCATTTCCATCACAAGTTCTATTGAGCCATGGAATAATTGGGTTTTACTCACAGTCACACATACACACACAAGCCCCATTAATACTGGGCCCTCTATAAAGAGAAATACATGCCTCTTCCCCTGAACAGTGCATAGGAACCTCAAGTAAATACCTTCCAAGCTTTTCTCTGGACATATCCATATATCAGTAGCACAAACCTCACATCTTTCCTAAAAGAAAAACAGAGGAAAGACTCTAAACTACCCTCCCAAGCCTCTATTATATTAATTTAATATCCCACTTTTCTCCTTGTACAAGATCCAACGTGGCTTCGGTTTTGGAGAAAGTGGGATAATACAGTGGGTCCTTGGTATGAGGTTTGGTTCCAGGACATCTGTGAATACCAAAATCTGTGGATGCTCAAGTCCCATTAATTGCAATGACATAGTGAAATGGTATCCCTTATATAAAATGACAAAAACAAGACTTGCTTTTGGAATTTCTATTATTTTTTAATATTGTCAAGCCATGGATGGTTGAATCTGTGGATAAAAAAATCTGTGGATATAGAGTACTAACTATATACTATTCTATCAATGCAGAAAAGTCTTGCCCTTAAATAATCTTAAGACAAGAGTCTCACCATGTTTGTGCAAACACAGGTTAAGTCAGTGATGTGGGGGATTATTTCAAAAGTTTTGTTCTACTTTTGAAATAGAAGATGAAAGAAGGAGAATAAGTGGATAGGGGGAAGAGGGGAGAAAAAGTTGGGTATATGGAAGTAGAAGATAAGGAATGTATATATGCAAAGAGGATGGTAGATGAATAGGGTTGGTTGCAAATGTTTGCAAGAGATAGTTTTATAGATGTTAATATTGTTATTATTGCTGTTATAGTTTTATAGATGTTAATATTGTTATTATTGCTGTTATTATGGTTATTATCGTCACCATACACGTTACAAGTGTGTTAAGTGATGTAGATATGCTAGGTGACATAAGTATGTTTATGTATGTATGCATGAGTTTTTACTTTATAATTCTCTTATTTTGAATAAAGATTTCTATATATAAAAAAAAGTAAAATCTATAACCATGCGTGCAGGTTGCAAGCCAAGATTCCTGCTAGCATCTCTCTTTTGAGCCTTCAAAAATATGTACAGCCTTAAACCGACTCCTTGCCTTGGCTACTAGCCAAAAAATGTTGGGGAAGGCTGCAAATTATTATTTTAAGAGAGATTGAGTTTTCAAATCTGCCTCCCACCCTGTAAAAAAACTGGCAGGCTGTGCACACATGTGCGCGTGCGTCCAAGAGAAAAAGCTCAGTGGGGCCTGTTTAAATAATAATAGAAAGTCAGAGCCTCTGCTTAGCCAGCAGCTTTTTGAACAAAAGCCCCCATACTTCCTGTAGGGAACATGACAAATGTCTGTTTTGACTCATTTAGTAAAAGACTCTGATGAAAGAGTTGGGGGGGGG